ATGTTTTAAGACAAAGGAGTATATAGGGAAATATAATTAACTATACAGGGAAGTTTAAAGAATTGTAAATTAGGACAGATTCAACAAAATCTAGCTTTATTAAGACGAGGGAGGGGAGGTATACAATTATTACAATGAATAATAAATTTATTTTATAACTACTATGATCTTAAACAGTGAAACACATACATATATATATGCCACGCCTGTCCCCGATTGGAGTAGGCAGAATATAACGAAATATGTGTCAAATAAATCGACAAATTTTTACTATTAATATTTATGTACAGAGCAAAACTAAAAACATTTGTATTCTTTTAAAGAAGTGATCTATCAATAGAATGGAACATTTGCATAAAGAAACGTGCGTCCAGATCAAGATAGTATAGACCGATGATTTTTTGGAAAAAATGTTCATATTTACTTGTAGAAAACTCTCTTAAATTTGTTTAATTTACCTGAAAGATATAAGTAAGTATGATAATGCTGAATACTCATGATAAATGAGTTTGTCATTCAGGCTATGTTGACTAGAGATGTATTATTGATAGACATCGTACAACCTGTCTCAAAAAACTCGGCAAAAGATGCCGCTTTTCATATCGTGCTATTCAATAGCTTCAATAGAATAGGAAGTACTTTCAAACTAAGAGATATTTGAAATGCATTTATATTAATTTTACACTTGTATATGCTTTGTATATACTTTGTATTATACTACGAGTATATTATATATATGCTATAATAAATGTATTTCTGAATTTATATTATTTTATATTACAAACACTATAATTAGTTCCATAATAATCAATATCCGAATATGAATTTTACAAATTCTCGTCACTGTCAGTTATTGAGAAAAGATTATTATTAGTGTCTGAGGAAGGCATCAACAGATAAACACTAATAGTGTAAACTATAGAAAAAAGCATCACTCGATACCGCAAAGTAAGAGTACTTGAAGTAGTTCGAACGCCGTGTTCAAGTCCACTTTAGTGTTGTCGAGTATGTTTTAGTTATTTATTTGTTACAAACAACAGATAGAGAAATTCGATGACAGAACAGGCACGTTTATATATATATATATATATATATATTTTGGTACTATTTATTTATAAAGGTATCAGTTATTTTTTTATCAATGGATCTAAAATATCTTTAAAAAAACTTTAATTAGCTAAATTGAAAATGTGACTGATATAAGGGCCCTAGACATCGGATTCTTTTAATACGTGAAAATAAATGGTAACCCCGTCCTCAACAAGCTGGAAACTAGTGAGAGATGATATAGGTGTGGATGAAAATATTTCAGTTGGGCCATCATGATGAATAAAACATGAATTTACCATGATGGTTTTTAGGGGGAACACCGTGAAGGTCGACCTGATAGGGTATATTGCTAGCAATGGAGATTTTAAACCCCTATTACTAAGAATCCCTTTCCTCTAATAATGGAATGGTAACCTTGCCTGCGCCAATGGTATACAATGGTCGGGTACCAGTGATGGATGATAGGTGAGAATGAAAAGGCAGGTCAGTTAGCCCATCGTGATGGATATACCAGAAATTTAGCGTGATGGTCCCCAGGGGAGATCACGTGGAGATCGACGTGACAGGGTATATTGCTAGCAATGGTATTGGTAGTCCGCATTACTAACAATCCCTTTACTCCCCCCCTGATTGTAGGTATTACGTACATATCATCAGTGACTATTTTATTTGTAGTCTTTTGATCCCTCACAATCGTCTATAATTCGATATTTAATAATGTTGTCAGGCTACATTGAAGACAGTTTATCTGATTGTCAGCCTGATTGATGATTACAGTTCGTCTGAATTGATTTTATCTATTTATGTCTTACCGCCTCAAGATCAAGTTTCATGTAGCCTTGACGACTGCCAGTTAGATTTAAATCATAAAATGCCACTGCAAATAGTCAAGTATTCGATTTCATGTTACTGGCTGATTCGTTGACCTGATGCCCTCATTCTGTTGAATCGATTGTACGTTGTTCCTTGGTCAACGTTATGCGAATGCATTAGGCGCGGTTCACGGAACAAACAGTTTTTTTGAATTAGCGAAAGTACTCACTTGTACGTTATCGGGTGAAAACCAAATAGAATCAAACTGAATTATCTTGCAAAAGGTATACTATTTGTACTATTTATACAAAAGTTTAGATAGAATGATTTTACTTATATTTCATTATCAGTTTTTGATAGTAACTCTAACATAGTAGTACGCTCTAGTATATCTAAAAGCTCAGAAGTAGAGCTTATAAGTATACTAGGCCAGTACTTAATATATCTGCCTATGGGCAAATTATCTTTTAAATTACGCAAAAGTATATCAAAATTATACGAGATAAATGTTGCAAAGCATTGTTTTTGAGAAATATCTTTTTGTCTCGGTGTCGATAAAATTAGATACACATTCTATCTAATACTTATTTTCAAATTCTATCTTTTCACGTAAATTAAGGCATGGAACATAGGTATGAATATTTTCTTGGATAATATTTAATAATACAGTTACATGATAGCACGGGAATCATTTACAAAACTTATCAATGTGCTCCTGTCTATCCAAAGGTTGCTCAGTAGAGATCGTTTTTAGCGATTGTGCCGTTCGTTTTGCTTCTGATTTGTAATCACTAAGTAACATATTCGTTTCTATAGCTATTAAAAGATTTTGACTAGTGTATTTCGTGCTACTACTGATATTCGTTGAAAGTCCTATCGTTTACTTTACGCTTTTCTTTCTTGCTTATAATGTGTTCGCAACTTATCCAATTATGGTCAAGATAACCGAGTTGAAACAAACGAGACGGATGTGTACCAGTATTTCCCCCGGCTCATAATAGAAACGTTTTCACCTGTAAAAAAAACGTTTATACATTCTGCTTTCTGCGAACTACAGTGTCTAGGAAAGTAACTAGGAATGCGTAGACTAGACGACATTTTTGCACCAATATTTTCCTTACCAGTGGATATAAATCTATACTTATCTACATATATACAGACACTTGAAAAGTTGCTCTTACTGGCTTACTAACTGATTGATAAGTTAACCTAATAGCCTAAACTACTAGTTTTGTTTTTTAAATATTAGAAAGGAGTATTATGAATTCTACTAGAAAGGAGATAACAAGTTTCGAGATTGTTTTATTTCCTTTTTCAAAAAATCGATATTGGTTTATTACGAATATAGAAAATAATTTAATTCCTCAAAAACATACTTTAATAAAACGCTCACTTTGATTTAAAAACTAAACTGTAAGTATATTTTTTCAGAAAAAAAAAATCATATTGGTTTGCAACTGGCGGAGTTAGGATACAAATATAAAAAACTGAATTGAGTATCTCTTTTTGAAGTCGGTTAATAATGCCAAATCGACCCACCAGTTCTCAAATGATACGTTTACAAATGAATAGCATTTAGTGTTTATTTATTGAATATTGAAACTAAAACACTTATTTTTCATTGCGTAACTGATTACAAAGTTAATTTTCAATCGGGTGAAAGCGGTTAAAATGGCTATTAATAGATTTCTATATTGAAAATTTGTTGTTATGTTATTCCATAGATTTCACGTTGATCAGACAAGGTGATCAATGTAGAATCCATTAGTAATTAGATTTGTTTGTTTGATGAATGTGAAGTTACTGGCGCTGGTGTTTACGCAAAAGGTCAAATATCATTCATACAATTCATCCTTTGAGAATTATCAACATGTGACTAGTGGTAGGTACCACGTAGTACCTGTGTAATCTATTGATGAGCCCATGTACCTGTTTGTTTGGATCTCATTCTGTGTCGTGTTACCTATCTTTGCACAGTAAAATTAATTACCACTTATTATTTATATTTATTTTAGAGTTTAAAATTTATAATTGTTTTTAGAATTATCCATAGAGACGATAAAGAACGATGATAACAATTATATGATATTAATAATTATTTTCTATTACTTTATGACAGTAGATTTGAGTGTGATTGTTTTTGTGACAAAAGAACTATAAAATGTGAAAGTTAAGTATAAATCTGATATATAAGTTATAATAATATGTAGATAAATATCGTAATGTGTATTGATGCGCAATCATTTAATTAAGTATTAAGCTGGAATTTTGTCATAAATAAACATTGTCATTCATGAACAATAATGAGTTATAACTGTATTACCTTATTGTATCCTCTAGTACAGATGAAAATGGAAATAATATATGCATTCACATATGCTTTCACTTCACGTTACAAGCCAGGTTTAGAGAAGATATTCCTTTTTTTTTAACCAAACGAGTCGCTTAAAACTCAAAACCACCGAAACGAATCTATAATGAGAAAACTTTTATAATTTGGAACAGAATAGCTTCGTATTGGGGTCAACAAGGAGCGCTCCACACGCAAAATGTTCCCCGATGTTGGTTAATTACATTTTATGCAGTTACAACCGTATTCACATAATTAATGTTTAGGGCAATAATTAGCGTGATTTAAATAAAGAATAAATTAAACCTTAGTATAATAGTAACGCTTACTATTGTAAGCTCTGTTCAGTGAAATATTTTAACATTTTTTTTCCGTTTTTGGAAACGGAAGAAAAACTAACCTCCGGGTTTCACTCTCATAAACTATGATAGAACAATTATAAAAGTTAAAACGAATAATAATTATAATTATCATTCAAACATCATTACCAACTTTTATATTTTTAATATTAGTAAGACACTCGTAAAATATCGTCTGCGTATATGCGTGCATTATAGCGCAGACAGAGGTATCATTTAATTTTTATTTCATTAGATAAGAAACTTTTTTGTTGATTTAAAACTTGGCGCTTTAACAACTCAACCAATCGTCATGAAATTTGGTATATACGTAGTATTTGGGATAGATTAATTTTTATCCCGATCAATAAATGCACCCAATCACGCGGGCGAAGTCGCGGGTAAACATTAGTAATAGTATAATAAAAACAAAATATTATCCACATCAGGTTCGCGTCCGCGAGTTCTACATCGCGATGCAGCGTTGCCCCTACATCCACGAGATGAAGGAGCGGCTGCTGGGGGCGCCGGTGGACGGCGCCGGCGCAGAGCGCGAGGCGCGCGAGACGCCGCGGGAGCGCGCGCTCGACGCCCACGCACAGGACACCCAGGTCGGCACCATCGTCAAAGTGAGCCTCATCATCATCTTATCATCTTCTGAAATTAACTTCTCGAGCCGTGATGCCTTGATGTACAGTTGGTATAGGAGTACTTTAACTAAAACAGCTGTTCATTTATTCTTTGTTAGAGGATATTCATATTATATTAAAGAATGAAAAGATTAGTGATGTTAAGTTTTATTTTGTGGTTTAAAATTTTATAGACCTGTTCCAAACCAAACATTCTATTAGTGATAGAACAGAATATGTGGGAGTGCCATTTAAGCTTGCGATAATGACTCGGTGGAAATATAAAGCGCTAAAATATAATTTTATCTATTTTTAAATGATAAACATTGCATATACATATCGGCATAATATATCTAAAAAAAAATTATTCAGATATCTACACTTTTACAGCAATGAAATGATAGTGTTTATTAATTAATAATTACAAAGACCTCTTTTTTAGTCTTTTTTATTTTAATGGCACAAATTTCTATTCCCTGTTACAATTTTAATACTATATTATATCAAAAGAAATTTGTAAATGAATAAATGAACAGAACAAAAATATATAAAAATATAAATTAAATACACGAGTTGAAAGTGAACATTATTGTGTTACAATGCTGGTACATACCTTACCATTATATTTAAATTCACTGTTTTTATAAACCAACTGTACATTGAATAGCAATTACGAGCAGTTTGTCACGGTATTGAGTATACCAATTAACTTTGGGAACCTCTGATAAAGAAAACATCTATGAACGAACGCGTCAAAAGGGTGAGTGATCCGGCATTGAAGTTAACTACAGTATTCATTTTACATTAATTGGTAGAAAGTGTCTCCTTAAGCACATTACAATTTCCTTGCACAATTTCAACTTATAGATTCTTCTCTTATCCTGTCTGTTGTTTTCCTGTATCTGTGAGGTGTGTGAAACTGTGAACCTATTGTGATATAGTGTGCATTATTGAATTATTTAATCTGGATGTAATAACCATCGTCAGTATACCAATACAACTTGCCGATTACCTCTTATGCTGAGTGCTCATATGGTTTCATTTTATTTTTAATTTTAGAACACTTATTACACTGTCTTCTGTGAATGGAATATACTGGTAAATTTTTAAGTTTCCATTTTTTTATATGGAAAATGGTAATACAATGGGCATTTCAGAGAATATGGATTACTGCTCCTGAAGACCAAGTGTGTTATACTTTGCGCCAGATATTATACTTGTTTCAGACGGGAACACAAAAAGCCAATCTGTTTTGTTGTTGTTATGAAGGAGCAATGAAATGCTCCTTGTTAATTCATGATACATGTACACAGATTGGTTTATGCGTTTGGCCTAGATACCTACATAGGCCAAATGCATTATTTCACTTTTTCACAATATTAATACTTAGAAGCTGTGTACTAAAAACTAAAAGTCGTTAAACGATATCATTTTCCAGCTGAACTCCGACGGATATGGTTCCCACACATCGCCGGCGCGTGCGCCGCTCGTGACAGACGAGTGCGAAGCGCCGGCCGATGAGACAGACGCCCTCACTCCCACAGAGGCAGTGCTGCGGTATCGCGCTTGCTGCCAACCAGAAACTACTCCTAAGAATGCCAAGTAAGTAATTTATATTAATAATAAAAAATACCTAGTCCTAAAATAAGTTAAGATTGTAGTATGGGTATTAGATATATAGAAAACACCCAGATTAATACAAATACAATGTTTGTAACATGTAGGAATCAAGCCTGCGACTCTTGAAGGATAAGGCGGTGTTCTAAATCGCTACACTAGTACATATGAATACACATAGTAGCCATAGAAATCAGATATAAAAAATAACAATAAGATTTTAATTAAAACTTGAAATTTTAATATTATAGTAGATCAATAACAAAGAAAACTATATATTCTCTATAAGCAATTGGATAATGCGCGAATCAGCCTAAAGAGTTAATGGAAAAACCTGTATTACTTGATTAGAAAAACATCCTTTTTAAGGCTGCAAGTTACTAGTGATGACGTATGGGACCGAAACATTGCTCTACGTAGTTGCTCGTATGGAAAAGCTTCAAGTTACTTAGTGAGCTATGGAGAGGGCCATGCTTAGGTGGCTCAGGACTGTTCCTGTTGGCAGTCTATTAAAGATGCATATGTTCAGCAGTGGACATATAACGGCTGATATGATGACGACGATGAAGTTTACGTTGGATATTATAATATTAACTTGCAGTTTCAATTACATCTTTAGCATAAGATAATTTTGTTATATTAATTAGGAGAATAAGGGTGTACATGAAATAACGAATGGAATTAGTAAACATTTATAGCAGTTGTACGAGAAAGGGTCTAGGTATACGACGTATGACTGATTTATTTATAATATATATACATATTTTTGGTAAGCTTTACGGATTTACCAATGCACTCACCAAAAACAAAAAAAAAAAAATAGAACATTATAATAATACAATAATGATGTAATGGACGGCAAGGAGTAGATATATTCTTCTATGTCCGTACTTTAATTTATATTAATAATAGGTATAACAAAGATACATATGAGGACGCTCTTCAAATCACAACACCAATTAGATAAAGTCACATGAACGAAAACAGAACTTAAATATGGTAATATTCATATCAAATACCATGAAAAAAAATATATAAAAGGATCTAAAAATGTAATAATTCCGATTTATAACTTTAACTTTTTTATTCCAAATGTAACTTTTAAATATTAATAATTTAAGCATTTGAGAAAATACGTATTGTTACTTTAAAATAAGTAGAATCTCTAATTACATTTGTACTTATTGAGGAAAAACTAAATTCGATTATAAGATATATAGTGAAATTCCAACAATAGTGATTATTTACAAATCTAAGAGAGAGAGAAAATAAGGTAGCGGATTTAAGTTACCTGGCGGACATGAATAAATGTACGTCTCAAGAGTCCGTCAATGAATAATTTATAGTTTGGCTCCGCAATAAATTATTGCTAAGAAAACAACTGGTTATCCATCCATTCAGAGGTTAAGGATTTATTTTAATTTAATATTCTAACAATAAATTAATAATACATATATTATTTATATCCTAGTAAACTTAATAATAAATATTTTTTAATAGTAATTTTTTTATTAATCTACCGCCCAGTTTGGAATGCAAATTGAGCTGAGAAGAACGTCCAAGTAACTCAGCTGTTGCTTTATATATATATTATTATTATAATATTGTAGATATGTAAGTGCTTTCTCTTTTTTTCATCTCACCACCTCCTAAAAAATCATAGAAGATATGTAGGTACTTGGTATTTAAAATTAGAATATTAGTCTATGATAATATTACTTTTTTTATGTATTTTACCATGTAAGGCATCAACCTTACATGTGATTACATCAGATATGGTTAAGTATATTTTTTACAAACATGTTATTCTTTTTAAGCCAGTCGTTTAATAACAGAAATACGTTTAATTTAGATATACACAATTATTTTATTAATAATTAAAAAAATATATAATGACTAAAAATATTTATATAGCTTTAAATTTTAGCAAATTTCACTATACTTTTATGTGCTGATAATGTAATAACTATAGGACCATAGTCACTAACTTAAGTAAAAATATTTATACAAACCATTGACGGTCTCCGGACCAACGAAGCGTACAATGTCACCATCTCATCTGAGCCACACAAAAAGCTTCAATGAACAATTTAAAAATAAATAAAGGGGAGGAAGCTGTAATCAAAGCACATCCACGTCGCATGGATGGACAATCGATTAAATGGTCATACCTATATGGTATATCTAAATAAAGACACGTGTGATGTTACATGGGGATCCTGAAATAAACTTTGTGGTCTGTATTTTAAGGTTCAAAGCCAAACGTATTGAATTATGCCACGTATATTAGTGCGGTCAGTAGCTGTTCGCCCGCTGTGGGATCTACTGTGGTCGCTCCCTTGATGATGGAAGGATACCGTTAATATATCCACATGAAAGCTATTGTATAGGTATACCTACTGTAGAACGTTTAAAATATTTATGAGATACTAGTCTTTGTCCGCAAATCTGTCCGTGTACACAGAACATATTTAGTTAATGGAATAAAAAGTAACCTATGTCTGTCTCCATTCTAAATAGTACGTCTATCTATTAAATAAAACAATGATTGATTGAAACGTTAAGATGTCAAGAGCTATCGAATAAACAAAAGCAAATTCAGTTTCCTATTTATAATATTAGTAAGGATATGAATATTTTAAGTCGGTATTATAGTCCTACACTGCGTTTTCCCCGTACGGGCAAGTGCAGTGTAGAACGAACTCCCACTAGATGGAGTAATGATTTCATATACTTTGCAGGGAGTTAGTGGATGCAGGTGACTCAGGACCGTTCCTTATGGCAGTCTATGGGGGAGGCCTATATCCAGCAGTGGACGAATAATGGCTGAAAAGATAATGATGATTATATGCAGCGTTATAATATTGATAATCTTTACAAGAACTTATAATGCACCTTCTTGTTTAGCACTGCAAAGTTTGTTTTATACAAGCATTGTGTAGGAATGATGATCTATGTAATCTAAAATCTGTTTTAATTAAAATAATTTATAATTACTGGATATATTTTATTATGTTCATTGTTCGGTACCTTATAAATACATGGCATCACACAAACTCTCCAATCCTTAAAGTAGGCTTAGTTTTAAGATTTTAAAAGGAGCAACATTAATAGTAAGTTAGATAACAATGTAGCAATCATTAAAAGACTTTTAGTATTGTGTATTATGTTTAATATCACGGAGTCATGTGCTGTGTCGTTAAAATCTCATTGGTCTACTTGCTTGCATACCGGTTCAACCTTGACATTGAGGTCAGGGTTACAATCTAAGTAAACCGTTTATTGCATTTTATTATACTGATTTACCAGATATATTTGTAATAATTTGACTTTAACGATGAAGTTCTTACTACGAAAGAGGGATTTTAAATATCCCTATATCTAGACCCATTACATTGAAGCGGCAATAAAAAGGTATTCATTGAACAGAAACTCAATTCGCAAATCCATTTACGGCAAGCTAAACCTTCATAAAGTCAAGTAGGTCCATAATATTATCTATTTGTTCATTGTATGCAAGACTACATCGAGGTCTACAAACATTATGTCATTGATAATTTTAATTCTCTACTGGCTTTGTTGTTGTCAATGCAATTGTATCTCCCAGGCATAGTAATTAACAGCTAATTAACTACACCTCATTTAAATGGCTCTTTCATAGCAGTTTTATTAATTTTGTCATTGTATAAATATAGGTCTGACCTGCTAATATTTACAATTAGAATGATAAATCGATTGGAATAGAAATAAAGCAGATATTTATTAGCTATTTGTATTATATACATAATATTACATACATAGCAAAATAGGCATTGTTTACTAACTTTTACTAACATACCTTCTTACATTTATGTTCCAAATTGTTTTACTTCTGTATCGTATGATAAATAATTATCTATACACAAAAATATTCAATATCTAACAAGCACTGCATTCCCAAAAATATTAAATAAACAGGAGAAAAAAACAAAAACCACAACAACTGGTTGTATATAAATTGAAATAATTTTAGTAGTTGAAAATAAAAATAGTATGTACATACTATTTTTATTTTCCACGTAATAACGTTTGGATTACGTTTAATACTTACTATCTATCGTATGCTATAATATAATAAAATGCTATAAGAATTGGCACATAAGTACATAAAAAATACTAGTTGTATAATTTATAGAACGGCCACAATTAACACAGATGTGTCTGCATTCTATTTATTAAAGTCCAGCATCGTATTTCCATGCGATGTAGAAAAATCCGATAATACACATCCAAGACATTTTTCATTGTTGTGTGTATCAGACTGTATGTATATACAGTCAATAAAACTCACCTTTCTTTGGCAGTCCGCCGTAAAAATAATTAAGTGGGTCAGCGTTGGCAACTCCCACTCAAAGTTGTCCTTCAATTTTATTAAGTTCCTCACTTAATATTGGTGACATACTTTTGCGGTTGGTTGCTGTTTTAGGCTTAGACCTTCCCAAATAGGTGAGTGGATTTAAGTCATGGTACCATAATTTTATGACACCTACGTGATTTATTTATAAATTAATTTTGTAAATATTATTATATTTCTGTATCTAACTGGACAATAGGAATTTAATGAACTAGCTATGTTTGTCGTTTCCGACAATTGTTCCGACAATTTCATACGGATGTCTTTTTCAGAGCGAGAAATCATTAAAATCTCCTTTGTTTATTTTTTTATACATTTATTTAATACTTTATTGTACACACTAATTATTATAATAATAACACTAATTGTAAAAATAATAATAACGCATCAGTGCCAGCGATGTACAATATTGTGACAATTTTCAAACAAGAACTAGACAAACTTAAGTTTATACATAACTAACTATATCATATTTAATTGTATATATACACACATACAATTGTACATATATACTCTAATTAATACTTATAATTAATAATAATAATAAAAAAATTACAATAGTTTTAAAAATACTATTATATAGATCGTAATT